ACCTGCCCCACAGGTGAGAGACAGTCTTATGGTTTTCTGGCTGCTATTGAGATGCTACAGAAGAGAAGAGCCTATGAGAAGAGAAATTAAAGAGCAGGGGCCTAGAAAAGAAATTGGCTGGGGCCTGAGGAGGCAGCAGGCTAAGGCACTGGCTTTCCACCAGTGTGCTATGGCACCCTGGAGTGCCTTGAATGATGGCCAGGTGTGCAACACTGGCGTCTCTCCCTCTTTCCTTCCCTCCCTCTTCTGATGCCCTCTTGCGTCTCTGCTTCCCAAAGGCTTGCATAGCTGTTTGTTGCAGCAGCCCTGGCTATAAGCTCCGCAGGCCAATGGTGCCTCTGGGAAGCACCTCTCTTTGGGGCGAGGGTGGTGTGCAGCTCAGAGACCAGGGGCGGAAGCAGCAGCTGCCCGGAGGACCCCCATGGGGAGTGGAAAGAAGAGGAGAGGAGGCGGAGGGAACACTCGACAAGGGAGGGTGTTCGAAAAAGGGTGAGAGGCCATTACTGCATATTGAATTTGTGGGGCGAGAACCCAAGATGCGTGTAACTCAGCAATATTACTGCTACTGGTAGCGCGATACTATAGTACATATATACTAAGGAGTAAGTCCAGTTGATTTCACTGAGGCGTACTATCAGAAGAGTACAGTGGTACCTCGGGTTACATACCCTTCAGGTTACAGACTCGCTAACCCAGAAATAGTACCTCGGGTTAAGAACTTTGCTTCAGGATGAGAACAGAAATTGTGCTCCGGCAGCGCGGCAGCAGTGGGAGGCCCCATTAGCTAAAGTGGTGCTTCAGGTTAAGAACAGTTTCAGGTTAAGAACGGATCTCCGGAATGAATTAAGTACTTAACCCGAGGTACCACTGTATAGGATTGCACCCTAAGAGTGTGTGTGTGTGTGAGAGAGAGTGTGTGTGGTGTGTGCGTGTGTGTGTGTGTGTGTGTGTGTGTGTGTGTGTGAGAGAGAGAGAGAGAGAGAGAATAGGAACTCTCTCCCCCCCCCCCGCAAGAAAAGCTACTAGCATTTCACTTATCTCTGACTGGGAAATCCTTTCCCAGTTCCATTTAAGACTTCGTAAATTTAGTTGTTAAAATAAAAAATGGGTGGAATGGCTTTAGGAACCGTACAAAATGTGTGGTGTTGTGGCAAAATGAGATTGTGCCATGTTGATTGTCATCCGGAGATTAGGCTTCAAAGAAGTTCATGCCTGGATCTGTTTGTGAATTCTTCTACAAGTGCATTGCAACCAGGATTTTGACCTTGGAAGAAGCCGTGCTAGATTGGGGCAGATATGGCTACACAAACATCTGCTGACCTCCATTTGGCAGCCATTCATGCAAACAAGCTGTAGGTTCACATCATGTACTTTGGAGCTAGCAAAATACGCTCTCATTTGCAGCAGAAAGGGTGTGTGGTAGCATTTCTCTTGTTTGGATTTTGCCTTATTAGTTTTAAATAGCAAACATGAACCACAAACGACTCTTATTTGAGCAAAACCTCTCTATTTCTCCCGTTACACCCACAACTTTCAAATGTTGCCCTAGTTTTCTCTTTAATAGATATCTCCTGTGCGTTCATTTTCTTCCTATGACAGAAATGGCAATGCTGACACGTGTACCGATTATGTTCTTGTAAGAGTTACTCCTGCTGATTTCTTTAAGAGCAAAACAAAACCCAACAGCCCTGCCACATGAATTGTTAACTGCGAGAGAGTACTAATTGCCTCTTAAAGACCGCTAATGAAAGATTTTAGGAAGCTGTTGTTTACTTATTTTTCACCTGCTGCATGTTGAGAGAGTTAGCTGAAGCTCTCCCACTTGAAAAATGGAATGTTGCATGTTTAGGCAAATATCAGGATCTTCCTCTCCCCCCCCCAAAAATTTCTTATTCTCCAGATGTGCATTCTAAGTGAGGGCTGATTTGGAATTTGTCTCTACTTCTTAAAGTGGATGTGAACATAATCCTACCCCTTCCAAGCAGGTGTACAAGGACACACTGTGTAGAAAATTTGTTCCTCAAGCACAGTGGGAGCCATGCTTGGGCAATACGTGGGTTTGTCAGCACACAGCAACTGGACGCAGGACAAGCACCTCTCCGCATGTTCAGTGAATCAGCCCCACCACATGCAATGTTCTTAGCAGAAGCGGGTTCTTCATGGCTGGGTCCAAGAAGTCATAACCTACTTACTGGAAACTGAGAAAAGGGAAGGGTTGGGTGGTTTGAAGAGGCCCTTACAATGCATAGTGTCTTGGTTGCTGGTTATAGTGCTGCTATGTTCCACCTTTGGGTAAGCACACAAGGCCTCCTGTTTAACAAAGACAGTAGAGACCAGCAGTGATGCACTCCCAGTAGCTGTGAACCTGACCTCGTAATGAAAGGATCCAACAAAAGGACCGTGCCTCATCTCTTTGCAGATTGTATAAAATATAATTCTTAAATGCATGTTTGTATCATGGGGTTGCATTCAATCTTCCATGAGCTTAAAGATTTCTGCTTGTGCAATGGAACGTAGGGGAGGAGAGGGGGGAACTCCCATCATGCAAGCATTTACCAAGAATAAGGCTGCAATCATAGCCCCACTTACCTGGGATTTAGGTAAAGGTAAAGGGACCCCTGACCATTAGGTCCAGTCGTGGCCGACTCTGGGGTTGCGGCGCTCATCTCACTTTATTGGCTGAGGGAGCCGGCGTACATGTGGCCAGCATGACTAAGCCACTTCTGGCGGACCAGAGCAGTGCAAGGAAACACCATTTACCTTCCCGCCCGAGCGGTACCTATTTATCTACTTGCACTTTGACGTGCTTTCGAACTGCTAGGTTGGCAGGAGCAGGGACCGAGCAATGGGAGCTCACCCTGTCGCAGGGATTCGAACCTCTGACCTTCAGCAAGCCCTAGGCTCTGTGGTTTAACCCACAGCGCCACCCGCGTCCCTTACCTGGGATTTACTCTTATTTAATTCAGTAGGATTTCTAAATGGGCATCGTTGGAATTATTCTGGATCAATTCCTGTTAACCTGGATTGCTGAATTAAACCTCCATGTTCAGCCACTGTGTATCTCTTGGGTACCAGTTGGGTAGCTATTGGTGGTGGCTACTAGTAGTTATGGTGGCTACGCTCTGCCTCTGTGGTGGGAGGCAGTAGTATTTCTCAGCACCCACTGCTGGAAACGGCAAGAGGGGAGAATGCTCTTGTGTCTTGATTCTGCTTGTTCATTTCCATCTTGGTTGGCTACTGTGAGAACAGGACTAGATGGGCCAGTGGTCAGTTCCAGCAGACTCTTCTTGTGTTCATGTGAAAAAGTGGAGGGGGCAGTTGCTGTTGTGCCTTGTCCGTGGGCTTCCTAGAAACAGCTAACTGGCCACTGGAAGGAAACCTGATCCCGAATTAGACAGAACTTTGCTTTGATTCCATAGGACTACTGTTCTGTTCTTAATGCTATTCTTAATGGGGTGTTCTTCACAAAGCATATGAGCATTACGGATACAGTTGTCTTATTATCATTTAGTACAATTACAGTGGTACCTCTGGTTAAGAACTTAATTCGTTCTGGAGGTCTGTTCGTAACCTGAAACTGTTCTTAACCTGAAGCACCACTTTAGCTAATGGGGCCTGCTGCGCCGCTGCTGCACAATTTCTGTTCTCATCCTGAAGCAAAGTTCTTAACCCGAGGTAATATTCCTGGGTTAGTGGAGTCTGTAACCTGAAGCGTATGTAACCTGAAGCGTATGTAACCCGAGGTACCACTGTATCTCCATTGGAGCTCAAGGTGGTTACGTGATTCTCCCTCTCATAGTTTTATCTTCACAACAACCCGTGAGGTTGGTTAGGCAGAGAAAGAGAGAGAGCTACTGGCCCAAGATCACCCAACTGAGCTTCATAGCCGAGTGGGGTCTTGAACTCTGGTCTCCCAGGTCCCGGTCCAACAGCCTTCCCACTACATCACACCGGCTCTCAACTAAAGTACTTTTAAACAAAAACCTCCGGTCAACATAAATGTAAAAGATCAACCGTCACAGACACTTTTTCTTTGTGTTATATATGTGTTCATTTTGTTGTTTCTTCTCCTCATTTTAAATCCTGTGGGTGATATGATACGTGATCGGTTTTTTTGTGTTATAATGCGAATCATTTTATTATGCCTAATGCAAATCACACTAGGCTTTTATCACAAGGTTAAATGAGGCATGCATGACTTAGAAATCTCCGGTTTGCCAGCTTCCTCTTTTGCAGGAAAGCCTTTTATATACCCTCCTTGTTTCCCTAGTTTCCAGTGGACCTTGTCCCAAAGCACATTGGAAGGGCGATGAGTGATGAATGACGTAGCCTTTAGTGCTTGCAACCTGGACAGAAAAATACTCACAATTTTGGACTTTTCTATTTTTGCTCATGAACTTAAGTCCTCCTACAGCATTGTGTTTCAAAGTTAAGGGAAACTTTTGTGTATTTTTCCTGTCTTACTGTCTTTCACTACTTTTCATTTTTTTAGATATATATAAAACCACCTTAAACACCAAATTAATTCTCAGGTAGAAAGCCACAGGCCTTCCTTCCCTCATCAATGAAGTGCTAATAGGTTTTGCTTTTGTTAGACTTCATGGTGGTGTAACCCTTTAGCTGGTCCTTAGCTGAAGATTTTCAGCTTCTTGAAACTGGCAGGAAGAGGTTTCTTGTTGTTTGTGGCAGTTTTGTTGCACAGTGCGTGGTTCCATTTGCTTCTGGGCGCAGAAACAGCTGAAGCCCTGTCTTCTCACCGAAGCATCCCTTAGGTAGGAGGCTTAACTCGCTAAAGGAAACACAGTGCCGTCCGTTCTGGAGGGTGTGTACCTATGTGAAACAGGAAGCAGAGCAGCAAACCGCCTGTGAGGAGAGAGACTTGCAATTCTGATCAGCGCAGGTGTGCAGTCTCTCTGAGAGAGACGTCTTCCCTCCAAGCATCTTGGCAGTTGTGCTGTTCAACAGGAGCTCTTGTGTGCTCTGGGAGGGGAGCAACTGTTGTGGGTAGAGCAAAAATGACTGCGTTACAGCTGAAAGAATTATCGCATTCAGGTCTGTACAGGAGGCGACGGGACCGTCCAGATAGCCTAGGTCTTCAAGGGTTACCTGAGCAGAAGCTGAGGTGAGTGGTGGTGAGGAGATTAATGGTTAACTTAAGACAGCTCTGGGTGTCTTTTGAGTTTAACACTGACGCCTGACAGAATCAGTTGCAGAAGCAGAATGCAGGGTGGTGGAATTGTAATAACACTAATTATAAAATGTGCCCAATTGGAAATAGTCCAGAGTTGCCAGGATAATCTAGGAGGAGTTGAGAGGAAGCAGCTGTTTTCCATTTACTTCATTTCTCAGTTTGACTTACTATCCTAAATGCTGTAGTAGCACGAAGAGTGACTGTAAGAAGTGTCAGTAATTCCCCTTCCCCAATATTTTTGATCACTGCTTAATTTCCCGCAGAACTAACCAATCTCCAGATTAAAACCTTAAAAATAAGTTTTAGTTTCCAGCACACTTGCATTCAAAGAGAACCCCATTGCTTTATAGGAGTCCTGGGCTGTTCTATTGGGTTTTTCTTTTCATTTAAAAAAAAAGTTGTGATGTGAGACTTGTCAGATCTTGATTTACTCCCCACCCCCCATAGATTTCTACTTATTATTATTGAAATGCCTTGCAACAAAAGAATGCAGTAGAACCACTTTATATGACCTTATGAAGGGAAAGTAACCAAAGAAAAATCTTAAACATTAATGACACTGGTTAGTTTCCAAAAGTTGAGCTCCTTTTAAAATATTGATTTTATAAAAGTGCAGGTCAGTAGAAGATTTTGTGTTGCTTTTCAAAAAAAGGAATGAATGGTGTAATGATAATAGTGATTAATGTAGATCTGGTAACGAATAACTTGCTGTGAAAATTGCATTTTTGTACGGAACTGTTAAAAAAATATCCCTGAGCAAATGTCAAAAGTGTTAGTGAAGGGGAAGAGTTTCCTGTCATGCTATGACTAGTGAATGACTAGCTGTTTTAACATAACAATGTAAACCTCCTGTGGAACTCTAGGCTCCTTGTTAGCTGGTCTGATGGATAAGAATCTCAGAAATAAGAGAGCAGAAATAAGCATGAGCTTCTGCCTGCCCGTGGGCAACTGGATCTCTGGGCAGATCTTTGGATAATCTGTAGTAGATGGGCAAGGACTTCTCACTTCAATTGTTTAACAATAGCACCAGCAAAATGTCTCTTCTCCCTGAAAGTGGGGTAGTAGTAAACCAGGAGCATATTTTTGTTTGTAAGGACTGCGAGCTGTGTTCAGTTCTGATTTTCAGAAACTTGATTCCTGGCTCAGAGTACTTAAAATTCATAAGTGTGTATCTTTTTGGCAGCAGAGTCTGGCTTTCAGTTAAAAAAGAAACCAAGGAGAAATCTTGCGAGCCTGCCCACCTCTGCTCTGGAACAGTCAACACCCTTTGAAAACAAAGCATACTCTCTATGAAAAAAGGGCCCCTGCCAGTTCAGATAAAGGGTAGAAAAGAACAGTTTGCTACCAGTGAAGTCTTGCTCTGTATTCTTCATAATTCCTGGTTTGCTCAAGAAGTGGGCAATAGTCATTTCCCCTGTTAAAGCAATGGACCTCACCTGTTAACTTAATGGTCCATTGGCCCAGTGTTGTTGCTGTAATTTTGTTAGAACAGTGACCAAAATCCCCGATCCCTTCAAGCTTTTATAGCTAACCTCTAAAGAAATTACCATGAGACCGCTTTGCTTTCCTATTCCTGATAATACCATCCTAATGTCATGCCGGGACGCAGGTGGCGCTGTGAGTTAAACCACAGAGCCTAGGACTTGCCGATCAGAAGGTCGGCGGTTCGAATCCCCGCAACGGGGTGAGCTCCCATTGCTCGGTCCCTGCTCCTGCCAACCTAGCAGTTCGAAAGCACGTCAAAGTGCAAGTAGATAAATAGGTACCGCTCCGGCGGGAAGGTAAACGGCTTTTCTGTGTGCTGCTCTGGTTCGCCAGAAGTGGCTTAGTCATGCTGGCCACATGACCCGGAAGCTGTACACCAGCTCCCTCGGCCAATAAAGCGAGATGAGCGCCACAACCCCAGAGTCGGTCACGACTGGACCTAATGGTCAGGGGTCCCTTTTAATGTCATGCCATCCTTTGGCGGGGAAATGCAGCTCAGGACTTTTATATGTTTACAGCCAGCATAATGCAGTTGTCAAGAGTGCTGCACCAACGAGAATTCAAATTGCCACTCAGCTGTGAAGCTCACGAAGTGACTTTGAGGCCATCACTCCTTTTCAGCCTACCCAACCTACCCTTGCTTTAGGAGTATTAGGATAAAACTGTGCTGCCCCAAGTTCTTTAGTGGGACGTGGGATTAAAAAAAAAAGGAACTACTTAAATCTGGGGCCGCCAAGACATGTCACCCCCAAGGTATGTGTGCGCCCACAGAAGCTTTCCCCTGCTGCATGCAGGTTCCCTTCTCCCTGCTGAAATCAAGGCTTGGAAGAAAGATGTCATTGGAGCCAATAGAACAGGTTGCGGTGTCTGCTTCGTTACAGTGGTTGGGGGTGCCCATCACAGCTTCTCTAGCTTGAAAATGTGCCAACAGGCAGGTGACCCCTGGCATCAACAAAGAAAACGTGTAGAAGGTGAGCGAAAATCAAACTATAATTTTTGGCTGCTAATCAAAATTCTCAGTTGCTGGTGATATTTAAGAGTTCCCATTCCTGGTGCATCTCGGAAGTCGTCTCTAGTCATATTGGCGAGATTTTTATTAATTTGGGACTGCCTTTCCAAGCTTTCTTCGCTTTGCATTTTAGGTAAAATGTCAAAGAAAGTTGTAAGTCAGTACTGGACGAGGTATTCGCCTTACCCTTTCCACTGTTTAAAGGTCTAAGTTCAGTTTCTAATCCAGGTAGCCTGTGTGCTTTCAGATTTCTTACACCCTTGTTCATAAAGAGATTTGTTTGGACCTAGGTCTTGTTGGGTAAAATGCTTTCCAAATAAGACTGGGGCTTCAATCCTGCGCAGACTCTGCTTTGAGTAAGGTAGGACTTGCATGGGATTGCTCTGCACGAGAGTTTTGGATTGCAGTTTTGCAAGCTGATACTGTTGGAAAAACGCCCCCCAGGAAGGCTGCCTCCTTCCCCAGAAGGAGCTGCTATCTCGCAGCTGGTGGGAACTCAAATCCCAAAAGATACTACATATCTGTGTTCAAAGAGTGGGGAAGAAACCTATAACTAGCAGGCTGAGCAGCTTCCTGAGAAGTTAAAGGCTCAGTTCCAAACATCTCCAGGTAAAAAGCATGGCTCTGTTGGATCAATCCATCAACCTCTGATGGATGATTTAAAACAGGGTTCAGCAACCTTATTCAGCTGTGGGCCGATCCACCATGCCTCAGACCATGTGGTGGGCTGGACTATATTTTGAAAAAAAAATATGAACAAATTCCTATACCCCACAAATAACCCAGAGATGCATTTTGAATAAAAGGAACATATTCAACTCATGTAAAAACACGCTGATTCCCGGACTGTCCACGGGCCGGATTGAGAAGGCAATTGGGCCGCATCTGGCCCCCAGGCCTTAGGTTGCCTACCCCTGATTTAGAAGGAAGAGCTTCAAGGGATGGATTTGGGGCATCATTATAGGAATGACACTTATTTAATTTAGGCTGCTTAAAAAAAAAATGCTGTTGGGGGTGCCATTGACATGAGGCAACTATCTCTCTTAAGCTAAAAGATCTTCAAGATGATGCTTCATAGATGACAGCTGTCAAAATGTCCCCACCCATCTCCAGCCAGCATACATTCTGCAGTCATTCTGGCTTTGTCCAGAAACCTTTTGAGCAGCTGTGCTTTGCAGTGGGGGATCTATGTAGCTCGTTAGTGCCAACAGGGACAGCTGCTTTGGTGCATCATCCCATGCCTTGTTTCTGCACTTCCAGGCAGCGCTTGGAAGTCACCATCTCTGCACCCTAGGCGCTTCGAAGTAACAGTCTCTAGAATGGATCTGTTGGTGCATCGTCCTCAAACGCTTCAGTTTCAAAGTAGTCTCACTAATGGCTTTGGGCCTGGGTTTCAGTAAATCGCCGGTTTTGTTCAGATTCTTTTTTTAAAAAAAGCAAAAGCTTTAATGAGATCTTTAATATTACATATTTCCACTTATCTCATAAGAAGAACTCCTGTACCTCCCCTTCTGACATACATTTATGGCACAACATGAAGGCATTAGATCTCATTTCCCGCCCCCCTCAATAATGTTGCTGTGCTGCAAATTGAATGATCCCTTTTTGAAGTTCCAATACGAGTTGCCACTAGCTCTGGAGTTCAAAGTTAAGACAGTTTTAATGTAGCTTCACCCTGTTATTATTCTTTGAATTATAGCAGTGCCTTCGGGGCCCCAGCCAAGGCGCCTCCATTTTAGATTGTATATGTTCGAAAAAGATTCTGCATAGATAGTTACTACTGTTGTGGATTTTTTCTGTGGCGTGGTGGGTGGCGTGGAATAATTGCCACCTCTTATTATATTCAGGAAACTATTACTCACATTTTGTCGAACTGTGATATTGCATAAGATGCGGGATATTTCCATTGCTCAAAGCTTTGAATATCTTCAGCACGGCACACCCTGCCCTCTCTCTCCCATTGCCCTCGCCTTTACCCTTAACGCTTTTTTTTGGCGTGCGTGTTGCTTAATCATCCTTCAAGAAATGCCTTTTGATTTACTCACTAGCCCTAGAGTGCAGAATTACTGGATGGGAATGTGCAACAGGCATTGCAAACTCTGGCTACGGGCGCTGCTGTGTACCGGCAACAGATTCTCTGGCTTGTGTTTTGTTTGGCCACGCTTAATGGGGGAAAGTAAGCAGGCAATAACTCACTTTTTTTTTATTGCAGATGTGAGAGCGTATAAGTAAATGTGTGGCAATAACCATTTGATTGGAACCTGCTTATCTCTTCTGTTACATCTGGCTAGTACATTCCATGCGGAGAGCAAAGAGTGACAGGTAGATCTAGCCAAAGACAAGTTTTCAGTACAGGGTAGGAATAAGTACATACATACCTGCCTGGCAACGACTTACATAATTGTTTGAGTTTTGCCCCGCCCCCCCCATAGAAGCA